CCGCCATATAATGGAGCTCTGCAACGTGGTATATGGAAACCGCCATATAATGGAGCTCTGCAACGTGGGTATATGGAAACCGCCATATAATGGAGCTCTGCAACGTGGGTATATGGAAACCGCCATATAATGGAGCTCTGCAACGTGGGTATATGGAAACCGCCATATAATGGAGCTCTGCAACGTGGGTATATGGAAACCGCCATATAATGGAGCTCTGCACGTGGGTATATGGAAACCGCCATATAATGGAGCTCTGCAACGTGGGTATATGGAAACCGCCATATAATGGAGCTCTGCAACGTGGGTATATGGAAACCGCCATATAATGGAGCTCTGCAACGTGGGTATATGGAAACCGCCATATAATGGAGCTCTGCAACGTGAGTATATGGAAACCGCCATATAATGGAGCTCTGCAACGTGGGTATATGGAAACCGCCATATAATGGAGCTCTGCAACGTGGGTATATGGAAACCGCCATATAATGGAGCTCTGCAACGTGGCCATATAATGGAGCTCTGCAACGTGGGTATATGGAAACCGCCATATAATGGAGCTCTGCAACGTGGGTATATGGAAACCGCCATATAATGGAGCTCTGCAACGTGAGTATATGGAAACCGCCATATAATGGAGCTCTGCAACGTGAGTATATGGAAACCGCCATATAATGGAGCTCTGCAACGTGGGTATATGGAAACCGCCATATAATGGAGCTCTGCAACGTGGGTATATGGAAATCGCCATATAATGGAGCTCTGCAACGTGGGTATATGGAAACCGCCATATAATGGAGCTCTGCAACGTGGGTATATGGAAACCGCCATATAATGGAGCTCTGCAACGTGGGTATATGGAAACCGCCATATAATGGAGCTCTGCAACGTGAGTATATGGAAACCGCCATATAATGGAGCTCTGCAACGTGAGTATATGGAAACCGCCATATAATGGAGCTCTGCAACGTGAGTATATGGAAACCGCCATATAATGGAGCTCTGCAACGTGGGTATATGGAAACCGCCATATAATGGAGCTCTGCAACGTGGGTATATGGAAACCGCCATATAATGGAGCTCTGCAACGTGGGTATATGGAAACCGCCATATAATGGAGCTCTGCAACGTGGGTATATGGAAACCGCCATATAATGGAGCTCTGCAACGTGGGTATATGGAAACCGCCATATAATGGAGCTCTGCAACGTGGGTATATGGAAACCGCCATATAATGGAGCTCTGCAACGTGGGTATATGGAAACCGCCATATAATGGAGCTCTGCAACGTGGGTATATGGAAACCGCCATATAATGGAGCTCTGCAACGTGGGTATATGGAAACCGCCATATAATGGAGCTCTGCAACGTGGGTATATGGAAACCGCCATATAATGGAGCTCTGCAACGTGGGTATATGGAAACCGCCATATAATGGAGCTCTGCAACGTGGGTATATGGAAACCGCCATATAATGGAGCTCTGCAACGTGGGTATATGGAAACCGCCATATAATGGAGCTCTGCAACGTGGGTATATGGAAACCGCCATATAATGGAGCTCTGCAACGTGGGTATATGGAAACCGCCATATAATGGAGCTCTGCAACGTGGGTATATGGAAACCGCCATATAATGGAGCTCTGCAACGTGGGTATATGGAAACCGCCATATAATGGAGCTCTGCAACGTGAGTATATGGAAACCGCCATATAATGGAGCTCTGCAACGTGGGTATATGGAAACCGCCATATAATGCTACAAATGAAGAAACATATCCTATATGTATGTTCTACTATCTCGAAATGTCGAGTTAGTATCTCAAAATTATTTTGAGTTAGTATCTCGAAATGTTGACTTACGTATCTGGAAATGTTGACTTAAGTATCTAGAAATGTTGACTTAGTGTATTTAAATTTTGAGATAGCATAAAATAAATTGTAGATAGTATCGAAGAAATGTAGCTAGTTTTTATTAAATTTTTAATTTTACATTTATTTAACTAGGCAAGTCAGTTAAGAACATATTCTTATTTACAATGACGGCCTACACCGGCCAAACCCGGACGACGCTGGGCCAATTGTGCGCCGCCCTATGGGACTCCCAATCACGGCCGGTTGTGATAAAGCCTGGAATCTGAGTGGCGCAGTGATCTAAGGCACTGCATCGCAGTGCTAGCTGTGCCACTAGAGATCCTGGTTCGAATCCAGGCTCTGTCGTAGCCGGCCGCGACCGGGAGACCCATGGGGCAGCGCACAAATGGTCCAGGGTATGGGAGGGAATGGCCGGCAGGGATGTAGCTCAGTTGGTAGGGTTGTGGGTTCGATTCCCACAGGGGGCCAGTATGATTATTATTATTATTTTTATAATAATGTATGCACTCACTAACTGTAAGTCGCTCTGGATAAGAATGTCTGCTAAATGACTAAAATGTAATGTAAATGAATCGTACCAGGGGGTCTGTAGTGATGCCTCAAGCACTGAGATGCAGTGCCTAGTAGCTCGAAATGTTTCGAAAGTATCAACATTTAAACATGTTTTTGGTGGCGGGAATGGGCTTCCATACATTTTGACTGGCTATAAATTCTAGTGGAAACCTAACATGCTGACCAAACTGCAAAATAAATGTACACATACATGTTCTTCAATCATTGCACCCACAACGCTCGTGCACGTCAATGAGCGTCTGTGTAGCCAGGCGCTAAAATAGAACTTGGTTCTAAAAGAGGGAGAAGGTTTGTTAAAGAAGAATGGTAGAAAATGTAAGCAGAGTGAGCTGAAGACAGGAGGAGAAATGGAAGTGAATGAGGGCAAATTATCGGAGGAGGTAGGTGTGGTGAAGTACTCGGAGCCCGAGGCTAGCACCGAGGGTCAGGATAAAGATGAGTCTGTGACAGTTGGAGTGACGTTTTTGGAAAAGGTGGAACCTTTTGGCTGATCCATTTTTGGTTTCAGGGTGGGTGAAAACAGAGTTGGGTGCTGTGGAATTGTTGAGGGTAAAAAGAAGTGGTCTTGTGTTAATTGTTTGTGCTTCTGCTGGTCAGAGGGAGAAGGCGCTCTGCGTTAAACGAATGGGGGCAAGACATGTGAATTGTTTTGCGCTCAAGAAAAGGGCGCCATTGAAAGGAGTGTTTACTGGGGTAGCAGTAAATGTAAAAGTTGACCAACTGAAGGGGAAGATTCCCTGTGTTTGTGATGCTCGTCGTTTGTTGCGATGCATACAGGGTGGCGTGAGTGGTGAAACAGAAGAGCCATTGTCTGTTCTTTTGAGTTTTGATGTTGAATCTTTGCCCGACAAAGTAATGTTAGGATATATAAGTTATCCTGTAAGAGCTTTTGTGCCGAATACATTACGTTGTTACAGGTGTCAAGCTTATGGGCATGTGGCAGCAGTGTGTAGGAGGGAGGTTCCTAGGTGTGAGTGGCGCAGTGGTCTAAGGCACTGCATCGCAGTGCTAGCTGTGCCACTAGAGATCCTGGTTCGAATCCAGGCTCTGTCGTAGCCGGCCGCGACCGGGAGACCCATGGGGCGGCGCACAATTAGTCCAGGGTAGGGGAGGGAATGGCCGGCAGGGATGTAGCTCAGTTGGTAGAGCATGGCGTTTGCAACGCCAGGGTTGTGGGTTCGATTCCCACGGGGGGGCCAGTATGAAAAAAAATAAAATAATAATAAGAGCGTCTGCTAAATGACGTAAATGTAAATGTGTGAGAAGTATGCAGAAGGGCATGAGACAAAGGAATGTGTAGCATTGGGGAAAGTAGTGGTATGTGTTAATTGTAGGGGTGCCCATGGGGCTGGGGATCAGAAATGTCCCGTGCGAGAGAGGCAGGTTGAGGTTTCCAGGGTAAGAGTAGTGCAGAAGTTGTCATATGCTGAGGCAGTGAAGAAAGTAGAGGAAGATGGGTCAAGGGGGAGGAGTGGTGAGAGTAGGAGATCTGTACCAGTACCAACAAACCAACAAGTGATATATGTTTCAGTAAGATTGGATTTTTAGCATTTATAGCAATGGTTATCAACTGTACTGCAGGGATGGAACGTAAGTCGCAGCAAATTGAGTTTGTGGTGGCAGCTGCAGAGAGGTATTTGGGTGTGCGAGTCTTGACATCATAAGAGTTTACTTTTTTGTGAGTGTTAGATGGTAGGGTATTTTTTTATTTTTTCAATCAAAGTATAGGGGAGTTTAGTGTCAAAGTATACCCCAAGGAACCTGAAGGACCCCAACCCCTCCAAGTTTCTCCCATATAACCTGATAAAGACTTCCCCACCCTCACCTGGATAGACTTTCCAAACAGGAAATCCTTTATCCAGTTGTACGTTCTTCCTCCTACCCCCATAATATCAAGCTTGATTAACAACCCCTCCTTCCACATCATATCATAGCCTTCTCCACATCAAAAAAAGACAGCTACAACAGTCTCCTTGTTCACCTGAGCCTTCCTGACCTCTGCTTCTAAGCAGAGCACTGGATCCATAGTTCCCCTACCCTTCCTGAACCCACTCTGATGTGGCGTTACTAGCCCTCTGCTCTCCAGGAAGTAAGTTAGCCTCTCCGTAATTATACGTTCCATAATCTTACATACATGTGATGTTAAAGCTATTGGCCACAGCTTTTTACTTCTCACACAAGCTTAAGTAGCTAAGAATTTTCGTGGCGTTCCTTTGTGTCATTTCTGTGACAGATGTTTCTGTGGTCCACTGAACTGTTCAGCACAAAACCGAAGCCACGCCCCAGCGCCATACTAGCCAATCACTGCTGACTATTTCAAATAGAGGCGGAGTAGAAACGACAACACGGTATTATGACTTTTATATAGGCGGACGTCGGCAACGTCAAAAAAATAGTTGCAGAGTCTTTTCAGACTGGAGTAGTTGGTTTGAGAAACAGCTACCAAGTAATAACAAAATTAATGAATTTACTAACGGACATTTATTCGCATCGCGAAGTAATTTATTAATCGGCATACTAAAGCTGTAATCTACCTGACGTTTTAGCGTGGTAAATGGAGGAGAAGAAGAAAGACGGAGACCCGGAGATTCAGGAACACGGACCCGAACATTGGTTCTCAAAATGGGAGCGGCAGTGTTTGGCCGAAGCCGAGCAAAGGGAGTCGAACGAGGAGGAGGCCGATAACGACCAGGATAAATTGTGGCATCTCTTCCAGAATTCCGCCACTGCTGTGGCTCAGCTCTACAAAGGTCCGACACAAGACCAGAACTAGTTACCTAACTTACGTTAGTCGGCTGCCACCCCTGCGCCTTGTTTCTTAGCTTGCTATGTTAGTCAGTCACTGTTGGTGGCGGTGGGAACTAGCTAATGTTAGCTACCTAGCTAGTAGCTAACTAGCTAGTTTACCAGCTCAGCTGATCAGCTGGTTAGCTAGCTACTGTTGCGTTGCCACTGTTTACCATCTAAGTCAAGACAACCCGTAATTATAGATAGTTTGCTGGTTTTTTGTGTTAGAAAAACAGATGATCTAAATGTATCTTTATGAAAATAAATGATTGCTTAAAAAAACGTTACAGTAGTTTGCTTTGGCTGTTGTTCGCCAACGTTTACCTCTTAGCTACTACCGTTAGCTAACGATAACTGCCAACCAACATAACCAGCCAACAAACTTTTGGTAGATAAGTTAGTTGAATAGCTAACTAACGTTAATCCAGTCTTTAAACTAATATGGTTTATAGTGTTAGTAAGTTAACCATCTGGTTAGAGAAACTGCGATTCCGACAATGTCAGTGAACAAGTAGCTAACGTTAAACGCTGTTGAGTGCATGTATTAGAGAAACAAAATGGCGATGGAAACAACAATCATCGCTACGCGACATTACCCTGTGACAGATTGCATCTTTCAGTGTTGCCTTTTTGTTAGGTCTGTGGGCTAATATTACTTTCCATAGATATACATTAAAGTTATATAATACATTTCGTTGCAGTTTTGGTTTAAGTCTACAATCAACGAATAGTCTACAATCAACGAATAGCCCGAGTTGTTTTATCAATGCATACTGAAAATTTAACAAAATGGCGAAGATTTACTATATTGGCATTGGGGTTATTGAGAATTCTTACCTGCTACTGTAATACTTCTCATAGATATACTGAACTATCGTAACAATTATTTATTTAGCTACCAAGGTAGCAATTGTTTCTAATTTACGACTGCAGCGTTCCTGCTGAAAGGGCAATTTAGTTGGTGCGTTATGCACTCGTGCTTCTAAACTGTCGAGTTGGCCATCTAGCGCTGGCTGACAGTTATTTATATTCCAAAGCCCGCCTGCAACCCTAGATGCAAGACAAAATGGCGAATGAAAGTATCCTGTAATCAAGAAGCTTTCAGTCTCAGATGTGTTGCCATATTACCATATAACGTGCCTTGTATCATGTACTACTAAAGTGTACTACAAAAGTGGGAATACTGTTTGAATTGGGGCCTAACTTGCTATTTATGTAATCTGTTGTCAACCAGGCTATCTATTCCAACAAACCTGTAATGTTTTTGGTGGTGTGTGTTGTCTCGACAGACCGAGTATGTCACCAACAGGGGGGGCTTTCTTTGTGGGTGCCGTTTCAAAACGCTGCCACAGCCGTAACCAACTTGTACAAAGGTAGGTGTCAGGGATACTCAAAGTGTTTTCAGTTTCTTCTGTCTTCTCACCTGCTTTCACGACAATATAAGATCGGACAGTATAGGATCATCATAACAGTCCATAGGCATTTTCTTTATCATTCTGCTGTAGTCTAAACGTGTATTGGTTTGCACAGTAGCTGTCAAGGTACTTGGCCTATCCACAGGGGGTAGGGTACTTGAGAAGACTCATTAGAGGATAGTCCCGACAGAGCAAAATGTACAGTAACCAAAAAAGGTTGAGAACCAAAGGCTCATCATAAAAGTCCAAAGGATTTCCTTTGTCATTCTGCTGTAAACGGGACATGTATTGATTAGTAGATCAATAGAAACTTGTAAACAATCATGGGCCTCTTCTAGTCACATGAATATTGACAATCTCACAGTTTACAGCCGTCCTCTCCAGTTCTGGTCCTGGAGTGCACAGCAGGGTTTGACTCTCCAACCCTAGCCTCCATTCTGCCTTCTCCCTACAGTTTTCAGCCGTCAGCTTCGCCAACGACTGGCTCATGTGAACTACAATCCCGACACTGTTTTTAAGGTTCAGAAATGTCAATCATCATTGCTTGGGTACGGCTTTCAGAAACATATGGCCCTTTTCATCAGCGAGGGGAAAAAAAATAAACACTTACTGTAGCAGTTACAGATCCACACAGCTATGGGTGCCTCATCAAACTAAAGTACACTACCACTTCCCGAGTTACGCTTACACACAGGTGTTCGGAGCACATAGCTAATTAGCACAGGTGATTGCCCTTGTTTTCCCTTAACAAGCGCTGTAACAGAGATGTGGCCGTGTGGGAACACTAAACCTATAAAGGTGTGTATCAATTTAACCTTTTTGTTTTTTGAAAATTATTTCTTGCTGATTTGAAAGAAGGTACTTATGTTTCCAAAACCTTACCGCAATTGATGCGTGTTAATGTTCAGGTTGGTTGGGGGGGGGGGGGGGGCTATAGTTCTGTAGTAAACTGTCAGCTATTAGTCACACGTTTCACTCAGGCTACACAAAGGAACCTTCAACCAAGTCACCATCACACGTTTCTCTCTCTCTCTCTCTCTTTCTCACACACACACACTTTCTCTCTCACACGTACTCACTCACTGTCAGACGTACACACCTTCCTTCCTCTCTTTCTGCCCCCAGAGTCTGTGGAGGCTCACCAGCGTAGCTACGACCTGGGTTTACAGATCAGCCACCAGCGTCGCAACAAGGATGTGCTGGCCTGGGTGAAGAAAAGGAGGAGAACCATCCGGCGGGAGGACCTCATCAGCTTCCTGTGTGGCCGGGCCCCACCCCACCGGAGCTCCAGAGCCACCCTCACCCCAGGACACAGACTGACCATGGTTTCCCCTAACCGGCCTCCCCCGGCCCCAGAGACTGACTCCTCTGTGGAGGCTGACCTCCAGCCCTTCAGAGAGGCCATCGCACTGCATGGTAAATACACAGATATACAGTGGGTTCCAAAATTGACAACCTTGATAAAGGTGAGAAAGAATGACTGTATAAAATCAACAATTTGAATGCTGAGCTATATTATATGGTTTAAGAAATTGGGAAATTTATATAATTTTATTCTAATACAATTGTGCAGAGATTTTATTCAACAAGTAATTGTTTTCTCTCAGGGGTCAAAATTATTGACACCCCTGTTTTCTATACCTTTCAATACCTCGCCTTGAGAGGATAACGAAACTGAGCCTTTTCCTGAGATGTTTTATGAGTTGGGGTACACATTGGGAGGGATCTTAGACCATTCCTCCATACATAATCCTTCCAGACAATGCAAATAGTCCGGGTAGCCATGATTAGCTGTTCAGGAGTCTTATGGCTTGGGGGTAGAAGCTGTTTCTAACAGCTAATCATGGCTACCCGGACTATTGGACCTAGACTGTTGGACCTAGACATGGCGCTCCGGTACCGCTTGCCGTGCGGTAGCAGAGAGAACAGTCTATGACTTGGGTGGAGTCTTTGACAATATTTAGGGCCTTCCTCTGACACCGCCTGGTATAGAGGTCCTGGATGGCAGGAAGCTTGGCCCCAGTGATGTACTGGGCCGTACGCACTACCCTCTGTAGTGCCTTGGGGTCGGAGGCCAAGCAGTTGCCATACCAAGCGTTGACGCAGCCAGTGAAGATGCTCTCAATGGTGCACCTGTAGAAGATTTGAGGGCCCATGCCAAATCTTTTCAGCCTCTTAAGGGACCATCATCGTGTTGTCGGCAAACTTAATGATTGCTTTGGAGTCGTGCCAGGCAACGCAGTCGTGGGTGAACAGGGAGTACAGGAGGGGACTAAGCACGCACCCCTAAGGGGCCTCCGTGTTGAGGGTCAGCGTGGCAGATTATGTTGGCTACCCTTACCACCTGGGGACGGCCCAGCAGGAAGTCCAGGATCCCGTTGCAGAGGGAGGTGTTTAGTCCCAGGGCCCTTAGCTTAGTGATGAGCTTGGAGGGCACTATGGTGTTGAACGCTGAGCTGTAGTCAATGAACGGCATTCTCACATAGGTGTTCCTCTTGTATAGGTGGGAAAGAACAGTGTGGAGTGCAGTAGAGATTGTGTCATCTGTGGATCTGTTGGGGCGGTATGTGAATTGGAGTTGGTCCAGGGTGTCTGGGATGATGGTATTGATGTTAGCCATAACCAGCCTTTCAAAGCATTTCTTAGCAACAGATGGGAGTGCTACAGGGCGATAGTCACCTGGCACCATCCCTACGGTGAAGCATGGGGGTGGCAGCATCATGCTGTGGGGATGTTTTTCAGCGGCAGGGACTGGGAGACTAGTCAGGATCGAGGGAAAGATGAATGGAGCAAAGTTCAGCGAGATCTTTGATAACCTGCTCCAGAGCGCTCAGGACCTCAGACTAGGGCGACGGTTTACCTTCCAACAGGACAATGACCTTAAGCACACAGCCAAGACAACGCAGGAGTGGCTTTGGGACAAGTCTCAATGTCCTTGAGTGGCCCAGCCAGAGCCTGGACTTGAACCCAATCAAACATCTCTGGAGAGACCTGAAAATAGCTGTGCAGCGACACTCCCCATCCAACCTGACAGAGCTTGAGAGGATCTGCAGCGAATAATGGGAGAAACTCCCCAAATACAGGTGTGCCAAGCTTGTAGCTTCATACTCGAGGCTGTAATCGCTGCCAAAGGTGCTTCAACAAAGTACTGAGTGAAGGGTCTGAATACTTATGTAAATGTCATTTTTCAGTTTTATTGTTTTTAATACATTTACCAACATTTCTAATAACCTGTTTTTGCTTTGTCATTATGGGGTATTGTGTGAAGATTGATGAGGGGAAAAAACAACATTTAATCCATTGTAGAATAAGGCTGTAATGTAACAAAATGTGGAAAAAGTCAAGGGGTCTGAATACTTTCCGAATGCACTGTAGATACACACCTGTCCTCTGGCAGAGCAGCTCTGCAAAATAGGCGTGTGTATGTTTGCGTTTTTCTTTGTGTGTGTGTGAGGGCCTCTGAGCTTTGTTAGTGGACCACATTTTGGTGAAAACCATACTTCCCAAATGCCACGATGCTGGTGTCATCACAGCCCTACTTTTGACCAGACCCCTACGAACCCTGCTCAAAAGGATCAGCATTCGTCATTCGTGTCCTAAATTGCACCGTATTCCCTCCATCAGGGTGGGGGCCAAAACAAATCTGAACTCGTCATGAGGGGCCGCAGTTTCTCGCGGGTCTGCATACCCACATCCATACCCCCTCACACACACACTGTGAGCAAAACAGTTTTTAGTGGCCCCGCTCTTTACAGCAGAGAGAATGTTTACGCTTTAGAGTTCATTTCGTGCAATTCTATACTTTGCCCATGGGGGTGTAGAAAAAATGTTGCAGTTTTAAAGCAAGTTTACTGCAGTTCTACACATTTTGCCAAGGGGTTTTCATAATATATCTTGAGTAATTCGACCATGATAAGTTTAGGTAGCTGGCCGCAAAACTAGCTTAGCAATCAAAAAAAAAAAAAATTTAGCTGACATGGTCTAATTGACAATCAGTGACTTACATAACAAGAGAAAAATGGTGGCTGCATAATCAGGTTTTGAAATTGCACGTTGTGTATTCTACTATTCTATGTTGAGATCCTTCATTTGTTGTTGATCCGAGGGCCTTCATGTTGCCGGAGGGCCGCCTGTTGCCCATCCCTGCCCTACATGGTTCACTACTTTTGACTAGAGCCCTATGGATCCTGCTCTAAAGTAGTGCACTATATAGGGAATAGGATGCCGTTTGGGGGATGCCCCATGGCCTAAATGAGTCTGGGGGGGAGACGACTTGTCTTCTGATTGACCTTGTGGTGATCTTTTCCTTTCCTCCTCCCCCTCTCCAATCTGTCCCCTCCTCCTCCTCTCCAATCTGTCCCCTCCTCAGGTCTAAGTGGGGCTATGGCCAGCATCAGTGTCCGTTCCGGTACCCCAGGCTCTCCTACCCACGTGGGGGGTGCTGCTGGCGGTGGGGGTGGGTCGACCCCGGTGGGGCGTCGGCGTAACGGCCTTAACGATGTGGACCTGAACACTTTCATCGCCGACGAAATGGCCCTGCACCTGGACGCTAACCCCAGGAAACGCAGCTCCGCCCAGTGCAATGATGTCATAACAGACTCCCCCACCCATAAACGCAACCGGATGATCTGATTGGCTTGCGGCCCAGCCCCAGGGAGGGCTAAGAGCCCTTTGTGGGAGGGGGCGTGTTCTTGAGACAGACTGACTGAAGGATTTATGGCTGTGGAGTGAACCGGCGTTGAGGACTGAGGAGGCCTTCCATTTAGTTGAGTGGGTGGTGGTCTCCTGTCCTTGCCTCCTTTCCTAGTTGAGAGCACTGGTCTAAAATGAAAGCATGCGTGTTGGAAACCTGTCATCAATCCTTCACAACCCCATTAGGCTGCATTTACACAGGCAGCCTAATTCAGATCTTTTTCCACTAATTGGTCTTTTGACCAATCAGATCAGTTCTTTTGCCAATAATTGGGCAAAAGAACAGAATTGGGCTGCCTGTGTACATGCAGCCTTAGTGATCAGCGCTCGTGACCGAGAGGATGCGAGGACAGAAAGGCATCAAGGAGGTTGGGACGCAGCCCCCTTTCAGAGGAGAAATGCACTGTGCTGATTTGAAATAAATAAAAAAAAGCCACTTGATCCTCTACACTTGTCGCCCCCCTCTCTCCTCACCCATCCTCCCTTCCTAATGAAACGAGGGTCATGGAAAACATCTGTCTTACTCCGTGAACTAGAGAATGGTTGATGCCGGAAGTAGTTCTGTTTTAGAGACATCTCATTTCTTTCTGTTATTCATCATCCATCCTCACTGGAGCTTCCCCGTCTGTGTCCCAAGTGACACCCTACTATATTACCACATAGGACCCTGTTCAAAAGTGGTGCACTATATAGGGGATAGGGTGTGATCTGGGAGCAGCCCCGCTGTCTCCTGATGGTTGATTCCCCCCCAATAGCAGGCTGTTGATGTTTTGATTATGTAGGCTACCTTCTGTCTGACAACTGTGCTTCAACGGTCATGTTAAGTTTGAGTTGCAAGTGCAACCACCCCGCATGGTAAGCGTCCCAAATCGCACACTATTCCCTATATAAAGTGCCCTAATAGGGCACTCTGGTCAAAAGTAGTGCACCATGTAGGGAAGAGGGTGCGATTTGGAGCACTAAGCCCAGTGTTCATTTTCAGGTTACAATGCCTCTGCTACAGTTAGTTCATTTATTCAGTACCTTGTTTTTTGTGTTGGGTTATTTAAAAGTTCAGGAACCACTCGGTGATACCCTACTGCTTGGATAATATCTGACTGTTGCCAGACTAACCCCCCAGTCAGTGATGTAGTGTGAAAACAAATAGGAAGGTGAACTCTGATCCCAGTGAGTAAAGGACCACTCCCTGTACTTTCAATGCGTTTCTCTGCTGAAGGTGTGACAGGTAAACGCTCAAGCAACCAAGTGTGAGCGGCCGTTAACCTGTTTCTCCTCTTCCATTCTGTAGCTGCTGCTGTTCTGTGGGGTTGTGATGATCATATTACCAGAGGCTGTTCTGTGGGGTTTTGTGATGATCATATTACCAGAGGCTGTTCTGTGGGGTTTTGTGATGATCATATTACCAGAGGCTGTCCTGTGGGGTTGTGATGATCATATTACCAGAGGCTGTTCTGTGGGGTTTTGTGATGATCATATTACCAGAGGCTGTCCTGTGGGGTTTTGTGATGATAATATTACCAGAGGCTGTCCTGTGGGGTTTTGTGATGATCATATTACCAGAGGCTGTCCTGTGGGGTTTTGTGATGATCATATTACCAGAGGCTGTTCTGTGGGGTTTTGTGATGATCATATTACCAGAGGCTGTCCTGTGGGGTTTTGTGATGATCATATTACCAGAGGCTGTCCTGTGGGGTTGTGATGATCATATTACCAGAGGCTGTTCTGTGGGGTTTTGTGATGATCATATTACCAGAGGCTGTCCTGTGGGGTTTTGTGATGATCATATTACCAGAGGCTGTTCTGTGGGGGTTGTGATGATCATATTACCAGAGGCTGTCATGTGGGGTTGTGTGATGATCATATTACCAGAGGCTGTCCTGTGGGGTTGTGTGATGATCATATTACCAGAGGCTGTCCTGTGGGGTTTTGTGATGATCATATTACCAGAGGCTGTTCTGTGGGGTTTTGTGTGATGATCATAATACCAGAGGCTGTCCTGTGGGGTTTTGTGATGATCATATTACCAGAGGCTGTTCTGTGGGGTTGTGTGATGATCATATTACCAGAGGCTGTCCTGTGGGGTTTTGTGATGATCATATTACCAGAGGCTGTCCTGTGGGGTTTTGTGATGATCATAATACCAGAGGCTGTCCTGTGGGGTTGTGATGATCATATTACCAGAGGCTGTTCTGTGGGGTTGTGTGATGATCATATTACCAGAGGCTGTTCTGTGGGGTTGTGTGATGATCATATTACCAGAGGCTGTCCTGTGGGGTTTTGTGATGATCATATTACCAGAGTTTCAATAAGGATGTTGCACTTAAGCTTCTTTCACATCTAAACTCATGCAAGTTGATCTTCCATTGGAACCAACCAGGCAGTCGATCCTCCACCTAAGGTATTCAATCAAACACCACCACCTTTACCTCCCCACCCCCTGGAAACTGGGCGGTGTTCATCTGCCACCAAACGGAAGAGGAACCGACTTTAATGTTTTGCTACGGCGTGCCGTAATGAACGTGCCCCAAACCAGAAGAGAAACTCTTTGTTTTGTTTGTTAGTTTTAAGTTGCCAAACGTTTTGCTATGCTGTGCCGTACTGAACACCACCCAGATGAAGAGACTTGGGAGGAGCGAAGGTGGACCTCCCGGAAACAAACTATCACAGAATTGTTCTTTCAGTTGCCGAGGGCCTAACATCCCAATGTCCACGCGACTGTTTAGTATGCCGTATGCGTGGCCAATCCAGGGCATCGCTCCGATACTGACAAGACATATTGTCTTCTAATGGGTGTGCATTAATGAGTTGATGTGAAAAGCTGCAGTTGGCTGACTATTAAAACTGAAGGGGATAGTTTACCCGAATTATAAAATGCCACTGGTTTCCGTACCCTGTATAGACAAGGAATACAGCAATCCATGCTTTGGTTTAGTTTACCTGTGCTGCGTTTTAGTACATAAAAAAACGTAATAGAATGTTCCATTGAACTGAGACAGTGCTGTACCAGTTTCCAGTTGAAAAACGGGGAGTGTTTTGGTTGTGGGTTCAAAATCCCCTGCTGCCCTTTAAATACGTGACTCATTGCTTCAAGCCACACCCCGGCACACCCAACGAACGCAGTAAACCTATCGCAAAGTCTGTTCAAGAACGTAAAAGTACAGTACAAACCGTTGCACAACGCCGGAAACGTTCAATTGAACTGAACTCCCCACTGGCCGTGGTCTCCAAATGCTAACTTTTGTAGCATTTTTGTCCAAACCCAATGCAAGCAAGTCATTATCCCTGATATTAGCATTTTTCACATTTCATGTCGGGAGAGATTTTGTAATTTGGGTGAACTATCCTTTTAATGACACAGATTGAGGTTGTACCTAGGCTCTGATCTAGGATCAGCTAACATTAACCACAGTTTTAACCCTAATACAGGGCTCTACAGTGCCACCATTTTACTCGCATATGCGCCTAAATATTTTGCTGTGCGACCTGGATTATTTTTTATTTAGGAGCACCAGTGAGCATAAAAAATAAATAAAAGGATTCTAGCTTCATTACCTAAAATATTTTCGATTGTGCTCCTACATTTCTTTGTGTTCGCCTACATTTTTCAACTTAAGCGCATACGTGCTCCTTGTAAAAAAAGGTCAGCTTAGAGCCCTGGCTTAACCAATAGGAGGTCAGAAAGCAGGACCTGTATTCACAAAGTGCTGAACTAGGATCAGTTTGATTCTAGAGACTGGGGGGCGTCTGATCGTACATCAACACTCATGCTCTGACACACGTTGTGAATACAGAACCTGATCAGAGATCAGTTCTTAGGGACACTTCATCCTATCCTGGTTGCTTAGTCAAACCAAGAGGGAGCACAGTTAGTGTGTGTTCCAAATGTCACACTATTCTCTTTGACCAGGGCCCGTGGGGAGGTAGATATGGTCGTAGAGACATTTGGGACGTAGGTATGGGGTGGTCGCGCCCCAATAATATCTCCTTTCTCTTGAAGTGTACACTCGTTCACTCCCTTCCCACAAAAATAAAAGCATTGTACTGGTTCGGCTAGAGGGAGTTTCCACTGTATCTCTGATACCAGTAATTTCCTTTCAAACCAGTGAAGGGAAGTGAACAAGTGCACACTGGGAGGAAGGAGATATAATTGGGACATAACCATGGGCAGAATCTCAATAGCGTTTCCTTCATTCTAAGTATCCTCCCCTCTCGCCGCCTTCTCGAACCCGATTTTGGATGAGGAATCAAGGAAACGCAATTGAGATTGTCCCCATGTTCTCCTGCCGTGCAGAACAGAAGGTCCTTCTGAACAGCTCTGTACGTTACATTTCTCCCTGCGGGGTTCAGCCCGCTGAGTAGACCTCTTGACATTTAGAAATACAGACCGGTTGACGTCAGAGCCCAGTACACGAACGTCCCACATAGCACCCTATCCCTTAAGTAGTAGCCGTATATAGTGAATAGGGTGTAATACTTTGAGGGCTCTGGTCAAAAAGCCTTATGTAGGGAACAGGGTGCCATTTGGGACAGGTCTTATTCCCGGAGGCATTTCTTGTAGAGCTGAAAGAATGTGATCGGTAATACATTTACAGCATATTGCTTACACCTATCCAATCCATTCAGCTCAACACAAGTGTTTTTTAGAGGTGGGGTGTATTCAGTGAAGGGGAAACGCTCTAAATGGTTCAGATAGAAATAGAATGAATAGAGCTGACACAATTCCCTATTTCTATCTGACAATCATTCCTATCCGAACGCGCCGTTTTACGTCCTCCTGAACTGCTGTCTGGGCGGGGGGGGGCCGAAGTTCTGTCAATCTACCAATGAACGGCATCCATCCTTACACCCCGCATCACGTGACTAGAGAACCCTATGGCTTGGGTCCCAGATGGAACCCTATTCCCTGTGTAGTGCAGTACGTAGGGCCCTATTCCCTGTGT